CTGAACATAAGTGACCTTGCACATCCTTGTCATTGCCACAAGAAGTAGTGTGAATTAAGGTATGGTATTACTGTCAGCAGTGGTACAGAGAAAAACAACTCAGTGGAATTGCTTTGGGTTTTCTCTGGTATCAGTACGACCCCAAAGACCTCCTTCTCTTGTCACTCTTGGGTTTTGCTTTTTTTAAATCCGGTGTAGCTCCATTAGTTTCAGTGAGATTCCCTTTGATTTACACCAGCAGAACTCAGAGGAGAATCAGATCTCTAAAGAATGAATCAAAATCCATTAATTGAGGCTTTGGATCATGGCCTTAATGAACAGAAGATGCTATATGTCTGATGTTATTTAAGGTTTGCAAATATCTGTAATTGGTGTGTGATCATGGCAGTTGAACAAAAAGGTATGTGTTTTACCATGGGGTAGTAAAAAAGGGGGTTTATATTGCATACTTTCTCCAGACCAATATTGATCTTAATCTGAGATTAAAGATAATGAGACTGTCAGGCCGTGGTGATACTGCCATAAAGGTCATCTGCTGGGAAGACATTGTCTGAGCATCTGTTTACAACTGATTGCCTTGCTAAGAAAGATAATTCAAGTAAGGTTTTAAGACCATTTGTACTTCTTGATGCTAGTTATAAAAGATGGCCTTTAACAATTAATGTGCAAACCTTATTGTGGATTTAAAAGGCTGGGATAGCTGAATACTAGTGTGCTCACAAATGATACAAGTTCAGATGTAAGTGGCAAAGAGCACAATAAGGGAAATTTAATATAAACATATTTAATTAGAAATTGACACCTCTTTAAATGGATTCTGATACACTCTTAAGAAGGACAGGGCAATCTATATTATTAGATAAATTACTAGTTGCAAGTCAGCACAGTTCCATTACCTGCATTAGTACGTCTGTGTACCTGACCTGAGATCGGGCCCTGTAATTCCTGCAAATTACATGTGTAAGCACTTCAGGTGCTAAATAAATGTCATGGGTGCATTGGAGAAGTGCAGATTCATGGATCTGTCCTGTAGTTTTAACTTTGGATAAACACTTGAATTTACCATATTAGACTCCTCAGGGTGAATTCTGCTCTCTCGCACCATTCTGAACCTAAAATAACTCTGCCAGAGTTAGTGGAGTTATTTTAGGTTTATACTGTACTTCTGTAAGCAGGAGTTGAATTTATTATTCCTTTAGATTTCTGGATAAAATGACATTTCATCTGTTCTAAGATTATCTAGGAATTCAGGGCATGTAAGAACCAAGCGGGGAAATGTTTACCTTTTTTTTGTTTTTTGGGCAGAGGGATAGTTTTGATCTTAAGGAATGTTGCAGGTGTAAGTGACCCAGAGTAGTAACGTTGAGATTGCAGGCATATTGCAAACTTGAATTTGATAGAAAGACCATCTATGCACCAGCGCCATATGATCTCAGTGGAGCTAGGCTGGGAATCTGACCGTAGAATTAGAGGAAGAATCTTTTTTTTTTCTTTCAAAGATTGAAAGGGATGACTCCACATGATCGCCAAGGGTCACAAGTTTGCAGACACATATGGTCAAGTGAATTTTATTTGCTCAAACAGCCCCATTCTCAGATCTCTCCATAAAACTTGCGTCTTCCCTGGTGTCTCCCATATGCATGAGAATGGCTGCCAACTGGTGTTCTGTCACCACTACTTCCCATGCTGATAATTATTTCCCGTTTCCTATGCCAGTTGTCTGCCAGTTGATATTTGATTTGTAAATTGTTGGGGGAGGGACCTGCCTTTCCATAACTGCATGTACAGCACCTACCAGAGTAGCGCATTGATGTCTCCAGACCCTACTGTAATACAAGTATTAAATAATAAGCATTTGCTTCAATGGGTCTATTCATGTGAGTAAAGTTAAGCCCATGTATACATATCTGCTAGATAGAGGCCACAGATTGTATGTGCACCTGCTGGAAAGTTGACCCTGCATTTCCATGATGATTTAGTTTACCTTGGCTATTAGTACAGAAGACCTAAAAAGACATTAAAGCATCTGATTGTTGAAGATTCATGTAACATCCATAAGCCCCTACTAAAATACTATCCTCAGCTTGGATTTAACATTCTTCATCTCCATAGCTACCAGGTTCAACTTATAAAAGGACAGATATGCACTGTACAGTACTTATAAATTGGAAAAGAATCTTCCTCAGTATCCTATCTTCAGCAATAAAAGGTTTCATAACTGGGGAAAAGGGGAAATGGAACATATCATTATTAATAATTAATGTACTCAGAACGATGTACTTCTGAGAGGACTCATATTTTGTGAGAGAGAGACATAACTCAGGTCCATCCTTCAGCAGCCTTGGCTGGCTCATTCATTGTTCCCATGCTCAGCTTTCACAGAGAAGAAAGATTTAGAGGTAAAAGAAGGTCAAGTTCTCGAGTATTTTTAAGGACACACTGAAGTTGCTCAACTTTTTATTGATTCTACTTTTTCTTTTTTAAATCATAGCCTGTCTTCAAAAATCCTTCCTATGCATTATTTTTTCAGATGCAAAAGCAACCATCTCACTGTTTGAAAAATATGTGGGCAGCAGGAAAGAAATGATTATTTAACTAACCTTTCCATTTATAACCAGTGGAAAGTTCCTGAATGTTTTATTATTGGAAGATAGAGATAGTTGATGATTCCTAAGCATGGATTAGGGCTGTGTGGGTTCCCCTGTTGTTTCCCCTGTATGGATTTTGTGGTTAAAAGGGCTGAGCTAAATTTTATACCGAAAACCCCCATTTTCTCATCCCAAACAGGAACTGAAACAATGCATCGTAGGTTCTTCGTTAGATTCCAGCTTAACATGACACTCAAGTAGCAACTTGGACTTCAGGGAGACTGGTCATCTGCTTAAAGCAATGCATGCATTTAACGAGCTTTGCTGAACCAGGGCATGACCTTGCAAATAAGAGAGTGACAGAAGTAAGTTATATGACTGTATTTACAAACTGGGCTTTATGAATGACTCTGTGGAACGCAGGTATAGCGCCAAATTCAGACTTGTTGTAAATGGGTGTAAATCCATTGGCATCAGTGGCATCATAATCACTGCACCTGGCTCATCATATTCTATTTAGTCTACTGGCAAGCCTTGCTAAATAACGGCATGCTTATGATTTTGGCTCATGCTTTTCTGTTAGCAAACTGCAGCTATTTTACTTTACTTGTGTACATGCCTGTATGCAACCTGCATTTTTCTCACTTATTTGCATGAGTGCTCAGACCGCCGTCAAAAGGCAATTATTTTTATCAACCAAAGTATACTATCATGCATGTATACTGATGTGTACTATGCAGCTGTGTGTTGAGATGGGGTCCTGCTACAAAGACGCTTGCTTCCTTCAAGTGGAAGTTTGCTTGCTTACTGCCTTGCAGGATGAAAGCTATAAAATAACAAGGATAACAACCCCCCAACAAACAATCAAAAAGTGATCTTTTTTTCCTTGTAATCTGAGAAGTTGAAGCAAAACCTTTCAAGATACAATTGACATAGCTTTGAGTTGCCACTTTTACAAGTTCACTTTTTAATCTAACCACTTTTCAATGTTTGGCAAATAAGGCCACCTGTTCAGACAGGAGAGCATCCTGTGCCTGACGGTCCTAAGCTTTTTCATTGAGACCAAAAACAAGGCAGTCATTACTTAC